ATCACTTGAGCCAGGAATTCAAGTCTGTTGAGTGCTATAAACATACCTGGGAATAGCCATTGCCACTCCAGCCGGGGCACATAGCAAGATCCTGTCTCTCTCTATATATAAAGTTAAATGTCAAACTGGTTTAAAAAATGCATGCCCCATGCTTGGTGGCTCATGCTTGTAATACCAGCACTTTGGAGGCCGAGGAAGGCGAATCACGAGGTCAAGAGATCGAGACCATCCTGGCTAACACGGTGAAACCCCGTCTCTACTAAAAATACAAAAAATTAGCCGGGCGAGGTGGCAGGCGCCTGTAGTCCCAGCTACTCGGGAGGCTGAGGCAGGAGAATGGCGTGAACCTGGGAGGCGGACTCGCAGTGAGCCGAGATCGCGCCACTGCACTCCAGCCTGGGCAAAAGAGGGAGACTCCATCTAAAAAAATAAAAATAAAAAAAGTGTGCCCCATGTTCATGGCAGCATTATTCACAATAGCCAAGGTAGAAGCAACCTAAATGTTCATCAATGGATGAATGGATGAACAAAATGTGGCATATACGGCTGGGCACGGTGGCTTATGCCTGTAATCCCAGCACTTTGGGAGGCCAAGGCAGGCAGATCACGAGGTCAGGAGATCGAGACCATCCTGGCCAATATCGTGAAACCCCGTTTCTACTAAAAAATACAAAAATTAGCCTCCACCTCCCGGATTCAAGTGATTCTCCTGCCTCAGCCTCCTGAGTAGCTGGGATTACAGGCACCTGCCACCACATCTGGCTAATTTTTGTATTTTTAGTAGAGACGAGATTTCTCCATGTTGGCCAGGTTGGTCCCAAACTCCTGACCACAAGTGATCTGCCCACCTTGGCCTCCCAAAGTGCTTGGATTACAAGTGAGAGCTACCGGGCCCAGCCAAATAGTCCATTTTAAATGTGCCATCTGTTCCCTGCCAGGATGCTAACCAATACAGAACTGTTACCCAAACTAAACTGAGAAAGTCAGAATTTCTGACTGTCATGAAGACATGGAGGAGCCTCTAGGCCTTCTCTGCCACCCAGGTCTCATTCCTCTAGCTGGCATTCCAGGCCTTGCACACTTTGGCCCTTACTTTCCCCTTAAGCTCATGACCACTGTGGCTCACACAACTGGACCATCTTCTCCCTGGCACGCGTGAGGATGCTGTGGTTACAAGCTTGCCTCTGGCCTAGGCTGGGCTGGAGTTTGAATCCTGGCTCTGCCATTTCCAAGCTGTGTTATGTTAAATTCAACCTCATTTTCTCCACCTGAAAATGGGAATAAACCTTTCCAATACGATTTATCTGAAGTTTAAATGAGATCCCATTGGTAAAGTGCTCAACGCAAAACAACGGTTGCTTCGGAAGCAAGAGGTACGGTTTTTATAAACTTTAGTTTTCTTTTACTTTGTTACAAATTTAATTTTGGAAATGGAGCCAGGGGGTGGCACCGTGACTCTAATCCCAGCAAAGTGCTGTAATCAGCACTTTGGGAGGCCGAGGCAGGCAGATCACTTGAGCCCAGGAGTTCAAGATCAGTCTGGGCAACATGGTGAAACCCCATCTCTACAAAAAACTAAAAAAAGTAACCAGGCATGGTGGCACATGCCTGGATCCCAGCTACTTGGGAAGCTGAGGTGGGAGGACCTGAGCTCCGGAGGCTGAGGCTGCAGTGAGCTGTGTTTGCACGACTGCACTCTGTTCTGAGCAGCAGACTGAGACCCTGTCTCAAAAATAAAAAGAAAACAGAGCTAGATGCAGTGGCTCACTCCTGTAATCCTAGCACTTTAGGAGGCTGAGGCTGCAGGATCACTTGAGCCCAGGAGTTCAAGGCTATGGTGAGCTGTGATTGCACCACCGCACTCCAGCCTATGCAGCAGAGCCAGGCCTTGTCTCTTAAAAAAAAGAAAAGGAAAAACAAAGAAAATAGAAAAAAAGGCCAAGTGCGGTGGCTCACGCCTATAATCCTAGCACTTTGGGATACCTAGGTAGGCAGATCCACCTGAGGTCAGGAGCTTGAGACCTGCCTGGCCAATATGGCAAAACCCTGTCTCTACTAAAAACACAAAAATCAGTTGGGTGTGGTGGCATACGCCTATAATCCCGGCTACCTGGAAGGCCAAGGCAGGAGAATTGCTTGAACCCAGGAGGTAGAGGTTTCAGTAAACTGAGATCACGCCACTGCACTCCAGCCTGGATAACAGAGCTAGACTCCATCTCAGGAAAAAAAAAAAAAAAAGGGGGCTGGACTCGGTGGCTCACACCTATAATCCCAGCACTTTGGGAGGCCAAGGTGGGCAGATCACTTGAGGTCAGGAGTTCGAAACCAGCCTGGCCAACATGGTGAAACTCCATCTCTACTAGAAATACAAAAATTAGCCGGGCATGCCTGTAATCCCAGTTACTTGGGAGGCTGAGGCAGGAGAATCGCTTGAACCCAGAGGGTGGAAGTTGCAGTGAGCTGAGATCGTGCCACTTCACTCCAGCCTGGGCGAAAGAGTGAGACTCCACTTTAAATAAATAAATAAATAAATAAATAAATAAATAAGTAAATAAATAAATGCCAGAGTTCCAGGATTCATCCTGACACAGATCAAGGAGAAAAACACTTGAGACTTAGTCATAATAATTCTATCCATGTGCCCTTTATCAACCCCTTCACTTGTACCTTAAGACAGCCTCACAAGGATCCTGTGGGCAGAGTAAATGTTACTCTTCCCATTTTACTGAGAAGGCACTGGAGCTCTGAAAGGCTGAGACTTGCCCAGAATTACCCAAGTAGTAAGTAACAGAGCTGGGGCCAGAAGCCAGGTTTTCAGGCTCCTTCATATCATCTGTTTTTGGAGATAAAAAACATACCTCTCATCATTCTTACCGATATCTCATGAAATTAAGAGAATATGCATGGTTCATCAGAACTCACACTGCTGCTGGAGACACTGATATGCAGGTCCAAGGAGCACAGCCCAGGAATACTGCCCTCTAGGAAGGACAGCAAGGGACAGGAAGCGGGGCGAGGCTGGCCTTTCTGTTCCTCTCCCAAGGATTTCCTCAGACAGGATGAAGAGGGGCCACCCACAGTGCAGCTAGTAGCCAGAATTCCTGCAGGGTGGGATTTGAGAGGCCTTTGAACAAAATTCAAACCCCGCAGTCTGTCAAGCCACCTAAGACAGTCATTCCTGCAACTCTCCATTTGTTTGTTTGTTTTGAGATGGAGTCCCACTCTATCACCCAGGCTGGAGTGCAGTGGCACGATCTTGGCTCACTACAACCTCTGCCACCCGGGTTCAAGCGATTCTCCTGCTTCAGCCTCCCAAGTAGCTGGGATTACAGGCACCTGTCACCTCATGATCCACCTATCTCAGCCTCCCAAAATGCTGGGATTAGAGGCGTGAGCCACTGCACCTGGCCCTTGCAACTCTTTAGGCTTAGAATTTTCCAGGAGCAGCTAAAGCTTTTTATTTGTTGACACCTGAGTCCAGTTAACCTTTGGAAAGTGGGGAGGACAGGGAGGAAAGGGACCCAGAGAGGTAGGGTACCCTTGAGGCCTCCCCAGGGCCTCTGTGGCAAGGTCCGGGTCTCCCAGCTCTGAAGGCACAGGGATTCTCTGAAAATTTGGTCCAGGAGGAAAGGCCAGGGATTATTTGGCTAGCAATGGAGTGCGAAAAGCCAGGCACCAGCCCGTTAGCCTGAATCCACTCAGCCCAGTCCTCCAGGCAGGGACGGGAATGACTTATGCAGAGGAATCTCTGAGCCACCTACCACTCACACAATGCTACCTCATCCCTTGTCATGAGCACAGAGGCCTAACAAGCACTCAGCAGCACTGTTCTGAGCACTTCACAGGAAGGAATTCATTTAATCTGCACAACAACCTGAAGATCTTATGAGCTACGTAGATCACCATTATCCTCATTTACAGATGAGACCAAGCCCCAGGGAGGAGGAAGATATTAGGGCAGCCACACTTTTGAGGCACACAGTGAGACTCCTGAAGCCTCCCACGTTCAGTGAAAATGGATCCACAGCAATGCCTTGCACGTGTTCTGAACTTTGGAGTTTTTTTGTTTTTGACAGTCTCACTCTGTCACCCAGGCTGGAGTGCGGTGGCACAATCTTGGCCACTGCAACCTCTGCCTCCTGGGTTCAAAAGATTCTCCTGCCTCAGTCTCCCGAGTAGCTGGGATTGCAGGCACCCGCCACGCCCAGCTAATTTTTGTAGTTTTAGTAGAGATCAGGATTCACCATGTTGGCCAGGCTGGTCTCGAACTCCGGACTTCAGGTAATCCGCCCACCTCGGCCTCCCAAAGTGCTGGGATTACAGGCGTGAGCCACCGCGCCCGGCCTGAACTTTGTAGTTTGTAAAGGATCTTCCCTTGGCTCTTGGGACTCTCATATAGGGTGAAATACGGCGTCTTAGCAACTGGGGCCCAGAGAGATGATGTGACTCACCCAGGGCCACACAGCTAGTGAGAGGTCTGGGGCGGGTTTGCTGCTGCCTAGACACGGGACGGATTCCCAGCCCACTAGTCAGATCGCGCTTCGCCCCAAGCCTTCCCGGCGCGGGTGCGGGCGCTGCCTCTCCTTCCTACGCCAGGGCGGGCGGGGCAGAGCGGATCGCGGCCTGGCGGCCTGGGCGCTGTCCGCGGTGCTGATCCTCCGCCGCGCCCCTGCGCGCCAAGGCACCGGCGGGTTCCCCAGGTCACCCTTCCAGCTCCCAGCTAAAGCCAGCTCCGCGAGCCCGGCGGCCCGCCGCGGGCCTCAGGGCCGGTTCCCGGGGCTTTCGGGGCTCCCGGGGTTCCCCCTCCCCCGACCGCGCGCCGCCGGCCTCCCCTCCCCCCGCCCCGCCCACGGCCCCTCCCCGCCCGTCTCAGGTCCCTCCCCTCCCCCTTTATCTCTCCCGCCCCCCGCACCCCGCCGGCTCGTTCGCCAGTTCCGGTCACGTTGCTGGGTGTTTACGCCTCGAGCCCGCCCCAGACCCCCCTTCGGCGCCCCCGAGCCCCCCGGAGCCCCGGCCCGACTGCCCCGCAGCCTCCCAGCAGCTGATGGCGCCGCAGCCAGGGCGGGCGCTGCGGATCCCCAGGCGCAGCTAGCGCGGGGGGAAGAGCGCCGCCCCCACCCAGCCCGGCCCGGACCCAGGGCCCCGCCGGCCGGTGGCTCCCAGGTCCCGAAGGTGAGGAGGCCGGTCGGTGGGCGTGGGGGGTGTGGGCGCCGGAGCGGCCCCAGTGGGGAGCAGCGCGGCCGAGCTTCAGCTCCCCCGGGAGGGCTGGCGCGGGGCTGGGCACCGCAGCGCGCGGGAGGCGGGCAGGACTCGCGGCGGGCTGCTGGCAGAAGTTGTCCTCCACCGCCCAGACCCGGGCCCTGCCTGGCGCTGACGGGCGTCCAGAGCGGCCTGAGGTCGAGCCCCGCCACCACCCGCCACACACACCTTTCTTTCTGCTGCCTTTGCCCTCCTCTCTGTTATCTCGCTTCCCCGTCCTCCTTAGTCTCCACATCCCCGCCAACCCCTGCCTTCCTTGGGAGTCATATTGGAGGCATAATTAGGGCAGAACCTGAAGCCTGAAGGGGGTGAGGGGCTCGAGTTTCCCCATACACCCCATTCCCGTGTGACTGGATCCTCAGCTTTGCTGAGGTGGGGGGTCCTGAGAGCTTCAGTGCAGAGGGCAGCCAGAGTTGAGGGGTTCAGGGGAAGGGGCTCTGGAGTGGAGAGGACCACAAGGTCCCTGGGGAATGTGGCTCCACCACTGGCTAAGTGGCCCCACCTTGCAGACAGAATCCTAGACATTTGTCAAAGGCTGAATCCTTGTTCCAGACTCCAGTCCCCAGGAAAGCCAAGGATTTGGGGTTGGGGGACTAGCATACTTATTTTTTAATATATGTATTTACTTGCCCTGGTGATTCCCAGTAAGACTCAATCCATTTTCCCTGTTTCAGCAACATTCATTATGGGCCTGTTCCATGCAAGAGATTCCCAGAGACAAAGCCTTGCCCTCAGGAAGCATATGGCTTAGCACAGAAGCCAGGTGCATTCAGGCACATGCACGCACGCACACACACACACACAGGATGAAGACTTATGGCTTAGCACAGAAGCCAGGTGTGTGCAGGCACACGTGCACACACACGCACACAGAACAAAGAGTGATAATATATATGGCAGACTGTGGTGCTAGCTGCCACTCAGATTCCAACAAATTGCCTGGGGAACAGAGAGACAGGAGTCATTCCATCTCGGTGGGGGATCAGGGATGGCTTCATGGTAAAAGTCACACCAGAGCAAGGCCCTGAAGGATGGGTCAGGTTTCAAGAGGCAGAGATGAGGCGCATATAGTAAGCGAGGGGATGGGCTGGCTACCGGGCTACTGGAAGACTTTGTCATCAGAGCAGCAAGAGGTAGAATCCAAAAGAGGAGAAGAGCAGCCTGCAGATGTGGACTGCTAAATGCAGGCTGATCTTCTCCTCTTTGGGATTCTCTTGTGAGAGGCCATAAATGCCAGGATGAGCACCCGGTGGAATGCTTCTAGTTGCCAGGCACTGTAGTTGCGTATACTGAGCAAACTACTTTACCTTTCTAAGCCTGTCTCCTCATTGATAAAGTGGATACATTAATAGAATCTTCAACATGGGGTTGTTGCCAAGATAAATGAGTTAATATATATAAAATGCTAAGAACAGTACCAATTACTTATTATTATAAGTATTATTACTTATGCATTGATGCCATGTCCAAGAAAGGCTTCTTGAGTTCCTGCTCTCCTATTGCCCCAGGCCTCTGAGTCAGGCCATGAACAGGAATAATGACTAAGAAACACAAAGCTCGTGTTGATTATTTCTTTTGAGACCGAGTTTTGCTCTTATTGCCCAGGTTGGAGTGCAGTGGTGCGATCTCAACTCACTGCAACCTCCGCCTCCCAGCTTCAAATGACTCTCCTGGCTCAGCCTCCCGAGTAGCTGGTGCTACAGGTGCCCTCCATCACGCCCTGCTAATTTTTGTATTTTTAGTAGAGATGGGGTTTTGCCATGTTGGCCAGGCTTGTCTCAAACTCCTGACCTCAGGTGATCCGCCCCTGTTGGCCTCCCAAAGTGCTGGGATTACAGGCGTGAGCCACCGCGCCCGGCCTGATTCATTTATCTGTTCACTTATTGCCATGCCTGTCCTATCGAATCTACCTGCCCTGACTATAAGAATAATAAAAATAAGTCTAACATTCTCCTTAACCAAGAAAACATACATACTTAAAGAACTTTAACAAAACGTGGCTATTGACTGTTAAGAACAGCACAGATATTTGTTGACTTGATAAATATTTTCAGTCCCAAACAGAAAAGAAACACTAGGAAAAGCTGAAACTGGGACAAGAGAATCCATCAGTGAGTGAGAGGTGGCACACAGTGCAAACCCCGGGCAAGCAGGCTGCAAGAAGTGTGGAGTCTGGTTCTTCTCCCAGCGACCTCCTCTGCTTAAGGGAAAGAAAGAGGCGGCAGAGGCCAGGGAGCCTTGAGCAGACGAAAAGGGTATGGGGAAGGTGAGATTTAGATACCCAAGGAAAGACTGGACTATAAAAGAGGTTTTCAAACTGCTGGTTAGCAGGCCAGGCACTGCAGCTTACGCCTGTAATCCCAGCACTTTGGGAGGCCGAGGCGGGCGGATCACGAGGTCAGAAGATCGAGACCATCCTGGCTAACACGGTGAAACCCCGTCTCTACTAAAAATACAAAAATTAGCCGGGCGTGGCGCCACTGCACTCCAGCTTGGGAGACAAAGTGAGACTCCATCTCAAAAAAAAAAAAAAAAAAGAGACAAGCAGGAACCAGGAAGACAGGTCGTGTCGTTTTCAGGGATCAGGAGCCCAAACCTCAGAGAGTCCAAACTGTGCCAGGGTCAGAAGGTTCCCGAGCCTGACACTTTACCCGTGATTGGGAACCTGAGCACAGAAGCCTTCTCCACCAACTTCCCCAAAGGGAAAAGTATTTGTAACTTTCAGACACATCAGAGACATGTTAAAAGTACTTGGAATTAACCCTATAAATTGTGAACCTTGTGTTAGGGTCTTTTTAATATTTTTGGTAACAATTTTTTTAAATGAATATTTTTTCATCAAGCTAGAAAGGCCAGGGACAGTGGCTCATGCCTGTAATCCCAGCACTTTGGGAGTCTGAGGCGAATGGATCACTTGAGGTCAGGAGATCGAGACCAGCCTGGCCAACATGGCAAAACCCTGTCTCTACTAAAAATACAAAAATTAGGCTGGGTGCGGTGGCTCAAACCTGTAATCCCAGCACTTTGGGAGGCCGAGGCGGGCGGATCATGAGGTCAGGAGATCGAGAACATCCTAGCTAACATGGTGAAACTCGGTCTCTACTAAAAATACAAAAAATTAGCCGGGCGTGGTGGCGGGCGCCTGTACTCCAGCTACTCGGGAGGCTGAGGCAGGAGAATGGCATGAACCAGGGAGGTGGAGCTTGCAGTGAGCCGAGATTGTGCCATTGCACTCCAGCCTGGGCGACAAAGCGAGACTACGTCTCAAAAAAATATATATATACAAAAATTAGCCAGGCGTGGTGGTGGTGGGCGCCTGTAATCCCAGCTACTTGGGAGGCTGAGGCAGGAGAATCACTTGAATCAGGGAGGCAGAGGTTGCGGTGAGCTGAGATTGTGTCATTGCACTCCAGCCTGGGCAACAAGAGCAAAACTCCATCTTGAAAAAAAAAAAAGAAGGAGAAGGACAAGGGGAAGGAAAAATTAATAGGAAAAAGAACTCAGAGAACCAGAAGAAGGAGGGGAGCAGAAACAATGCAGGCTCTGAGGTGCTCAGGACAGCGGACAGAGGAGTGCGACCCTCTTCCCCAACCGTGTTAACTCAGGAGGCTAGACATCTAGCGCTGTGTTGTGGGGAAAGATGGAACCGATAGCTCCAGCCCTTCAGCTACTGTTACTGACCTGGGCCAAGTCCTCAGGCACGAGCTTCTGAAGCCCAGATGTTCCAGGACTGCATTTATGATGGGAAAATCGGATGTTTTCCTGGCTTGGGCCTTCTGAAGTAGTGCCTGCGACTCCCCAGCCAGACAGAGAGATTTCTGTTGTCACTAGTTCCCTTCCCCACTCTATCTCCCACCCTCCCCCAAACAAACTAAACAATAATGTCTAAGAGAGAATATTTGCCAAGATCGTTTGTGACCCAAATTTCCGCCCTGAGAAAAGCAGCCTGCCTAGTTGGAAGCAAATACTCAAGTCGTTCTGGGAAAGCACAGAAACAGCTGGTTGGCTCAGCCTCTCACCGGTGGCCAGGGTCCAGTCTCCGGAGCTGTGTGGGAAGGGCTTTTACTCTTCAGAAACATTTGCATTTCAGTGGCTGGGAACAGACATTTTCTCTCTTCATCCTAAGCACAGGCCCACACACCCACCTTCGTCCTACAGGTGTGCGCACAGCAGACACAGCAGCGAGAGAATCGAGAGACACACACAGGTACTCCTTGAGGCACACACGCAGGCTCAGGCACACACACAGATACGCAAGCACACAAACCCTGAAAAAGACTCACAGTTGCATAGACACGCAGCTCACCTGTTTCTCCTGAGTTCTGCACCAGCGTATTATGTTTTATTCTATCTTTTTTTTTTTTTTTGAGACAGGATCTCACTCTCTGTCACCCAAGCTGGAATGCAGTGGTGCAGTCATGGCTCACTGAAGCCTCAAACTCCTGGGCTCAAGCAATCCTCCCACCTCAGCCTCCCGAGTAGCTGGGACCACAGGCACACGCCACCCCGCCCAGCTAATTTTTGTATCTTTAGTAGAGACGGGGTTTCACCGTGTTGTCCAGGCTGGTCTCAAACTGCTGGGCACAAAAAGGATCTGCCCACCTCTGCCTCCTAAAGTTCTGGGATTATAGGCATGAGGCCCTGAGCCTGGCTGCACGAGTATATTGGCCTGCCTACGTGACATCTAGTTCTCCTTGTCTGAGGTCTTTTGGGCATATCGCACCTAACACATGACAACTTGATCTTACTTTGTGTAAATCTGCTTCTCCACCAGTCTACCCCATCCCCACAAATTCACTCACTCTAAAGATATTTACTGAATACTTCCTGTTTGCCACATACTGTGCTAGGTACTAAGGAACAGGAGGAACCAAAGCAATGTCCTTCATCTCAGTTGCTAACAATCTGGCAGG